CCTTAAATTTAACTTTAACCTTAACCCTAACCCTAACACTAACCCTAACCCTAACATTAACCCTAACCCTTACCCTAACCCTATATCGTAACCCTGGCCGTAACTATAACTTTAACCCTTATCATAACCCTAACCCAAATCCTAACACTTTAATCTTTAAAAAAAGCCGTTTTGGGATCTACCATGACCCACATTGTGTAGGCAAGGATTAACCCCAAGGAAAATGCGGTATCGAAACATTAAAAAATCATGATCATGATGCTCCTTTGCGTTGTTGGAAAGGTGGAATCTCGATATCTCCTCCACGTGCTCCCAATGAAACACACGGTATCGATTTTTGAAAAAAAAATATTAGTCCGATGGGAGATAAGCCGATTTAGCAAGACAGAGTGCGAAAGAGTGCATCTAAACATAGCTTAATGTTTTGTGTAGCATCGTGGTGAAATCATGCACTCGTCAAGATAATGAAATCAAAGAAACTGGATTTTTTTCACAGATTCCACCGCATCGTGACACTTTCAAAACTAAAAAATGTGTCACGCGGAAATGAGCACAAAGGTTAGAAAAATGCGGGGAAATCGGTTAAACTGGTATTGACTGATTATTTTCTCTACTCTAAATTAATAAACTTAAGATGAAAAACGTCTGTATAAACAGGATAAGGTATTAAATATTTTGTCTGATAAAAGTTACTATTGGTTTTTATGATGAAATAATTTTAGATTTAAGGAAGATAATCGACACATATATGACCTAATTATGTTGCAAGTACAGTAAAACTCTCACAAAAACAAATTAAGAAAGATAGCCCAGAACACAGTTTTCGAGCTATTAATATAATAAATAGTCTGCAAGAAACTAAAGCAGAGAAACGACACTTTAAGATGGGACATCTTCTTTGTTTCATTGTACGATGGATTCGATTTAGTTAGATTTTTAAAAGAAATAATCATTTTCTTTTTGATAGGGCTGGCGTTTTAAAAGAACTCGCTGTGTATTGTTTGTTTGTTTTTGTAAAGTGTTTTACGGCGCAGGCAACTGCATAAGGTCATATGAGCGCGCGGGACACACCTAATATT